AGCTGGTTTTGGTTGTCAGCAGCAAAACTGGTTGATCCACTCTGAGATGGTGCTATTTAAGAGACTGAGCTGAATACAGCTCCTCAGACTGAGGAAGTCTCTCGGATGAGAGATGAAACGTTTCTACATTTTTTTGTTGATTTGCTTTGTTTTGTTTTTTTGAATGTCCAGAGGACCAGATTTAACTTTTTTAGATATATATATATAAATTACTACGACTCAAAGCAGGACTCTTCACAATGTCAGCTCAAACTTCTACAGGTCGTCACTGGAGATCTACAGATCTGTGATATTTGGCAGAAAATGTTACACGACAACTTCATCTGCAGCTATTTAAAACCCAGAGTGACTCCACATACGGGTGGTGGTGATGATGTTTTGTTTTTCTATCAAAGAAACTATAAAAAGAGTGAAGGGATCACTGATACAAAACTGGAGTGTGTGCACCAAAAAGTTAAGTTTAAAAAGGAGTAGGCCAGTGTGGGCAGAGCTTCAGAGGCTGGAATTACCTCCACATAAAGAGCAAAGGCCAAGTAGAGTGCACATGTGTGTGTGTGTGTGTGTGAATGATGGACAGATTATTTATTTTCTTAATATTGATAATTAGCCAAAAAAAAGGGGATATAACAGTAGCAAAGTCACAAACCCATGCTCATGAGTCATCCCATGAGTAAAGGGCAAGAAGCTCAGCCATGTCTCCAGATGACTCACAATCATCACAAGCAATGTTCAACATGTTACCCAGTATGATCTGTGGGTTTATTTTTTCTAAACTTTATTCTAAAGACATACATTTATCGATTACAAACTTATATTTAAAGAAAATAAACAAGCAAACAAACAACTTTACAATGTTCAACCATTTATTTTATTATAAATTACTTTCATGTTATGTTTGCTGATATATTACACAATTTTGAGTCTCAAAAACATGATAACTGGGTTCTATCACTTAGAAATGAGAAATGTTTTTGCATTATCGTTATTTAATAGAAAAATATGGAAAATAAATGTAC